GGGTCCCCAGTGTGCGAGCAGCTGTGTGAGAGCAGAGGTGGCTGGGTCTCCTCCCTGAAGGGCCATGCATTCCCTTCTGTTTGCTTTTTGAGGGCCCAGCTGCCCTGCTCTAGACCTCTGAGGCTGTTGATGGAACGAGAGCAAAAATGCATGTATGTGTCCTGGTCAGGACAGTTTCGGGTTCCTGGCATTGGGTGTGATGTTAGTGCTCTGTGGGTTTTTCATGAAAGAGCCTTGTCAGGCCAAGGTGTACCTTCCGTTCCTAATTTGATGATTTTTTTTTAATATCGGAGAAAGTAATGGAAGTTTTTGTGAAATAGTTTTTCCGTGTCTGTAGGGATAATGTGTGGGCTTTTCTCTTGTTGATTCTGTTCTGTGATATATTATTTTGTATGGTAGCCATCCTTGAATTCCTGGAGTAACTCTCAGTTGCGCACTGTGAGCTAAGCTTTGGTTGTGCTTCTGGATCGCATTTGGCAATTTGTTCAGGATTATGACAGATTCATGACAATATTTATATGCCACTTTCTTTATTATGTGTTTGTTTTCGATGTTGGGATAATGCTGTTCTGATGGAAGAAAATTGGATGTTTTCCCTCTTAATCTCCTTTTTGGAAGGATTTGTGAATCATGGATTTTAATTACCCTGTAAGTGGGAGTTCTCACTGGTGAAGCCTTGTGGTCCTGGAATTTTATTCATTTTTTTGTGTTTGTTTTTTTGGTTTCCCTGCTAATACAGTCTAATTTCAATTTAAAAGTATATTCACATTTTCTAGTTTGACTACAATCATTTTTGGGGTTTATTTCTTTCTGAGAATCAATCCACTGTATCTACATTGACCAAATTCTTGTGCCTTGGTTTTCCCATAGTGTTTTTTGATTATTATTTTAGTAAGGTTGTTAGTAATGTCCTCTCTGTCATTTCTCTTCTTAAGTCACTTGAGTCTGTTCTCTTTTTTGCTTGTTTCATGTGTATAAACGTAGTGTCAGTTTCACTGAGTTTTCAAGAACTGTATTTTGGTCTCAGTGAATGTCTTTTGTGATATTTTCTATGCCGTTGACTTTATTTGCATTTGAATCATTTTCCTGCTTCCAGTTTCTTAAGATTTACTTTGCTGTTCTAGTGTTTGAAGGTAAAATTGGGTTTATGGGTCCGATGTCTGTATTCTGTAATATATACCTGTAGAGCAATACAATTTCTCATGTGAGGTTGGTCCTGTCAACATGGAAAACTGTATGGGTGTACCCACTACTGGGAACATATTGAAGGAAATGAAATCATTGTGTAGACAGAGAGGCTTTCACAGGCCTATGCTTATTGCAGTAGGATGCACAATAGCCAGGCTATGCAGTCTGCAGACGCATGTATGGTGTCCACAGCCCGTAATGTCTTTATTCAGTCTTGAGGGGATCGGCATTTTGGCTGATGGTGTATCTTTGCTCTTGTGAATTGAGCTGTAGTAAATATGGGGGCAGAGAGAACTCTTTTTTTGTATGCTGATTTCATTCCCCTTGGGTGCATTCCCAGAGCTGGTGTGGATGGCTCATATGCTACGTCTGTATTCAGATTTCTGACTTATCTCGATACTGTCTTCCACAGTGACAATACCAGTTCACATTCCCACCAGCAGTGGATTAGGGTGCCTTTTCCCTCACATGCTCAGGGCCATTGTAGAAATGATTTGCATTTCCCTGATGGCTAGTGATCCTGAGCATTTCTACATATGTTTGTTGGACATTTAGATTTCCTTTCTTTTTTTCTTTTTTCTTTTTCTTTTTTTTATTTAGTAAATATGAATTTCCAAAGTACAGTTTATGGATTACAATGCCCCCCCCACATAATTTCCCTTCCACTTACACCCCTCCCATCTCCCACTCCTCTCCCATTCCATTCACATCAAGATTCATTTTCAATTATCTTTATATACAGAAGATGGATTCAGTATATATTAAATAAATATTTCATCAGTTTGCACCCACACAGAAACACAAAGTGTAAAATAATGTTTCAGTACTAGTTATAGCATTATTTCACATTGGACAACGCATTAAGGACAGATCCCACATGAGAAGTAAGGACACAGTAACTCCTGTTGTTGACTTAACAATTTGACACTCTTGTTTATGGCGTCAGTAATCTCCCTAGGATCTAGTCATGAGTTGCCAAGGCTCTGGAAGCCTTTTGAGTTTGCTGACTTCGATCTCATTCCGACAGGGTCATAGTCAAAGTGGAAGTTTTCTCCTCCCTTCAATGAAAGGTACGTCCTTCTTTGATGGCCCCGTTCTTTCCACTGGGGTATCACTTGCAGAGATCTTTCATTTAGGTCTTCTTCTTTTTTTTTCCAGAGTGTCTTGGCTTTCCATGCCTAAAATACTCTCATGGGCTCTTCAGCCAGATCCAAATGTCTTAAGGGCTAATTCTGAGGCCAGAGTGCTGTTTAGGACATCTGCCATTCTATGAGTCTGCTGTGTATCCCACTTCCCATGATGGATCATTCTCTCCCTTTTTGATTCTATCAGTTAGTATTAGCAGACACTAATCTTGTTTTTGTGATCCCTTTGACTCTTAGACCTATCAGTGTGATCAGTTGTGACCTGAAATTGTTCACTTGGACTAGTGAGATGGCACCTTATTGGGATTGAATTGGAATCCCCTGGTATGTTTCTAACTCTACCATTTGGGGCAAGTCAGCTTGAGCATGTCCCAAATTGTACATCTCCTCCCTCTCTTATTCCCACTCTTATATTTAACAGGAATCACTTTTCAGTTAAAATTTAAACACCTAAGAATAATTGTGTGTTAATTACAGAGTTCAACCAATAGTACTAGAACAAAACAAAAAAAAATACTAAAATGGATAAAGTATTACATTGTACGTCAATAGTCAGGACAAGAGCTGATCAAGTCACTGTTTCTCCTAGATTTCCTTTCTTGAAATATGCCTGTGGAAGCCCTTTGCCCATTTCCTGAGTGGTTGGTTTGTTTTGCTGTAGTTGAATTTTTTGAAAGTTTCTTGTAGTTTAGTTTATGCTTTATCAGTTGCATACTTTGCATATAATTTCTCCCATTCCGTTAGTTGCCTCTTTACTTGGCTGAGTGTTTTCTTTTGCAGGGCAGAAGCTTCTCCATTTTTTTTTTTGGTGTCCTCTTGTATCTCTCTCTTTAATCTTTTGTGATTCCCAGATGTTGAACATCGTTGGTTAAATTTATTCCAAGCTTTTTGTTTTCTTTGTAGCTATGTGAACGGGATTGGTCTTTGAATTCCTTTCTCAGCCATGACATTGTCTGTGTATACAAAGACTTGATTTTTTATCCTGGCTCATTACCTAACTCTACTCTGAATTTCAATAGTATCTTAGTGGAGTCTTTTGGATCTCCTATATATAGAATTATGTCATCTGCAAATATGGATAGTTGGACTTCCTCCCTCCCAATTTGTATCTACAATGAGAAATTAGAGATGAAGTACCAACATGATTGTGTGCATGTAGAAAATGTGAATAGTGACCTCAGATGCTACCTTTCTGTATTCTCTCTTGCTTTGTGGGACATGTGATTTGGCCTGTTTCCAACATGATCCGTACTTTAAATGCTGGGCTAGACTGTGCAGGGTGGTGTCTGGGAAATAGACCTGTGTTCCATGTAGAACTCTGTAGATCACAGGTGTTTCAAGTCCTTGTGTGAGCGGGTACATAAGTGTCTGAATAAATAAATTACAAAGATTTCCTCATGCATAAGTCAAAGATAATGCCACACAGAATGTTTGTAAGGAAGAAGAGAATGAATGGGTACTAGAATCTTTTCTAAGACTGATTTAAATTCTTTTTCAAATTCTGTGTCTATTTGGTATGCAATACCTATAGTATCAGTTTGTAAATAAACTCTAGTAGTTGGCCTGTATTTTATTTACAGCTATGTCTTCCTTTTTTAATTTTTACTTTTTCTTAAATATTTATTTATTTGAAATTCAGACATATACACAGAGAGGATGGGAGGCAGAGAGAGCGAGCGAGAGGGAGAGACAGATGCATAGGTTTTCCATCTGCTGTTCCACTTCCTATTCGGCTGCATTGGCCAGAGCAGAGGAGATCCAAAAGCAGGAGCCCGGAACCTCCCCGTGGTCTCCTTCATGGGTACAAGGGCACAAGGAGTTGGGCCATCTTCTACTGCCTTCCCAAACCACAGCAGAGAGCCACATCAGAAGTGCAGCATCCAGGACTCGAACTGGCGCCTAGATGGGATGTGCGATGTGGGTGGTGGCTATAGCCACTACCCCACAATGCCAGGTCCTCCGGAAGCCATTGCCATGGAATGCTGCTGTCTGCTAACATTGCTGTGAAAGCAGAGGGAGACGGCCCAAGGTCTTAGGATCCTGAACCCAGAATTGAGCACCGGATAAAGTCCCAGGCTTCTGCTTTGGCCTGGCCGAGCCCTGGCCTTTGTAGCCACCTGGGGGGTGAACCCCCAGATGGATGATCACTCAGAGCAAGAAAGAGTGCTCACGATGCTGCTTGTACTGCTGCTCTCCCCAAGCAGCAGCAAGGGCCAGCGCTGGTCCAGGCAGAAACCAGGAGGCAGGAGCTCCATTCAGGACTCCCACTAGACAGGGTGACTGGGTCCAGAGTGCCTGAGCCGTCAGTGGCTGCCTCCCTGGGTCACAGCCTGATGAGGCAGGAATGGAAGTGGCCCTGGGGCATCAGGGCATAGCTGCATCCCTTGGTGCCCTGTCGGTCACCGGTGAGGAGTGTGCCTGAGCCCAGCACTGTGACCCAGAAGTGCACCCGCAGGTGCATCTGTTTCTTCGGCACGGTGCTCCGGTGGGAGTCAGCGTCGTGTCTGCCCCAGCTCAGAGCTTGTGCAAGCCCTGAGTTGCTGATTTCGATGCTGGTGGCTGAACCTGAGGAGATACAGTGCCTCCCCCCGCCAGGGTCAGGCCGGGATTAGGTGAAACTGTGGTGAGGCAGCCACTCAGTTATCTTGTGCTTCTGGAACTTTCTAGGCACAGTCCTCTTCTTTGGCCCCTCTGAAAGACTACACCTCAGGTCTGGATTCCTGTGTCAGAGGAACAGAAATGCTCTTTCTGCGGAGAGTTTGGTGCGGTGGCCTTCCTGTCACTGGGTAGGAGGGGCCCGGGGGACAGTGAGTGGGGAGGGTGTGTATGAGGGGTAGCTGAGATAGAAGGTGGAGAAGAATGGGTGTTAAGAGGAGGCTGGAGGAGAGAGGAAGGGGGGAGAATGAAAAGGTGGCATGAAGGTGGGGAGGCAAGGAAGGGAGGGGCAGAAACCCGCGTTGGGGAGAGGAAAGGGAGGGGGAGAGTGACAGGAGTGCTGGTGGGCGTGTGTGGTGGTGGGGATTGGGAGAGGTAGAACTTTTCCCACAGGCCTGGTTCTGTCTTGGGGGTTTTCTGTCCCTGGCTGGAAGTAGCCTTTGCCGCGTCCTTGAGAGGAGGACTTGACCCACACAGCCTCTCTTCTCCAGGTTGTTCTGAAGTATAAGGTGTGTGTGCAGGAAAACGGGGGCACGGGGCGCTCTAATTAATTGGCACATAATCCAGTGAATTTTCACAGGCTGCACACACGAAGGAGAAAGCAGAAGCTTAGAGAAACACCAAGAATCCCTCTGTGCTGTGTTCCAGCCTGTCCCAAGATTCTGACACCTCATAGTAAGTACTGGATATTTTTTTCTATTTAAATACTAATTTGAAAGGCAGAGTTATAGATGAGGAGGTGTGGGAGAGATCTTCGTGTATGGGTTCACCCCCCAGGTGATGACATTACCAGGGCTGGGCCAGGCGGAGCAGAAGCCAGGTACTTTATCCAGTACTCCAGAGTGGGTTCAGGGGCCCAAGTCCTTGGGGTGCTTCCTCTGCTTTCCTAGGTGTTTGAGCATACAGCTGGATCACAAGTGGGAACAGCCTGGGGGTGGGGGAGTGGCAGACAGAACAGTGGCATAGTGGATGAAGCTGCCACCTGTAGTACCAGCATCCCATATGGGTGTCTTCCTTCTCTATGATACTTTTCTCTCATTCCCCCCCCAGCAGAACTAAGTATCCAGAGCTTCTGTAACACACTACCTATACATGTAAATTGCTTACCCATTTCATCACCATTTATTTGCTAAATATCTATATTCTGTATAAGACTATGAACTTGTCCAGGGCAGGACTTTGTCTCTCTGCTTTCATTCCTGTAGTCCCTGATACACAGTTGGAATTCAGCTTATGCAGAACTAACAATGCACTCACTGTTGGATCTTGGGACAGGAACTGTTGGTTATAGAAAGGTCTGTTTACAGAAATAAAGGTAGGAGGGACAAGAAGGGATGTTTAAGAGAATCAGCATTAATGAAGCACTTTCAGTGGTCAGGCTTCTTAATGTACCATTGTCTCATTTCTAAATAACAACACAAGGAGGGGAAGCAAGAGTTTTATTTAATTATACAACATTGTCCTGTCTAATCCTCTTCAAAGCGCTTTGAGGAAGGTACCACTGATACCCTTTTAAATATGAGTTAAGGGCCAGTGCCGCGGTTCAATAGGCTAATCCTCCACCTTGCAGCACTGGCACACCAGGTTCTAGTCCCGGTCGGGGCACTGGATTCTGTCCCGGTTGCCCCCCTTCCAGGCCAGCTCTCTGCTGTGGCCTGGGAGTGCAGTGGAGGATGGCCCAAGTGCTTGGGCCCTGCACTCATGGGAGACCAGGATAAGCACCTGGCGCCTGCCTTCAAATCAGCGTGGTGCACCAGCCGTGGCGGCCATTGGAGGGTGAACCAACGGCAAAAGGAAGACCTTTCTCTCACTGTCCACTCTTCCTGTCAAAAACAAAATATGAGTTAAAGGAAGTGGGAACCAGCCCTAGGCCATATATAGAGATCAGTGAAGTTCCAGTTTAAATCCTGCTGTGCTTGCCCCAGAGTTGTGTCCCTCCTTGGGTTGGAACCTCAGCTTCCAGTAGTTCCAGAGTTGGGGTATCAGAGAGGTGGTAGCTGGTGAAAACCAGTGGTCCTAGTCTTTGGGCTTGTCTTTGTGTGCAGCATAACTACAGGGACTTGAGCTGTGTCACTAAGGACCCGTCTTCCTAATGCTATGGCCTCATGCTGTGATTTGTTAGTATAGGTCTTGTGTCCTGGTACACACCAGTGGGGAGTCTTGAGCTGTTGGGAGAGTCTGAGGAGGACACCTTGCCACCCTGGGACTGGAACTGACTTTAAGAGGGACCCTGAGGTATGAAAGGAGATTTGCTGGTAGGGTTAGGACCAGAGGGTTTGAGGAATCCTCAAGGTCCCTGGTGATTAGACTTTTTTTTATTATTCTTTATTATTTATTTCAAAAGAAGAAAGAAATATTTCATGCGTTAGTTTACTTCCCTAATGCCCATAACAGCTGGAAAGGTATGTAAAGCCAGGGTCTGGGAACTCAATCCCAGTCTCCTATGTGAGTAGCAAGAATGTAAGTATTTGAGCCATCACCTGTTGCCTCCCAGGTTGTAGTAGTAGGAAGCTGGAACCAGGACTTCAGCCAGGACTTGATCCTGGGCACTCTAACATGGGCTGTGGGGATTCCAGTAGTGGCTTAGCTGCTATACCAAAAGCCCATCCCTGAATAGTTCTTCCTTCAAAGTGTGGCTGGCTACTTGTGAGGGGTTTACCTCACCACTGCTCACTGGGCCTGCTGCACAATTTTGTGAGCACCTTGTTCCAAAGGCAGCGGTAAAGTGCCACTAAAGATACTAAAACATAATCTCTTTCCTTTCTTCCATGTATTCCTTGGCTCAGACTCATGTTCTTTTGACTCACTTACAAAACATAAGTTCAAAGATAAAATTTTGAGGCTTTTTAAGACACCACCAGCAGAGGCTTAAACCCAGTGCAGGCCCTTCTGAGTGTGTGACTGTTCCTATGTGACTATGTAGGCTGCACGACCATGAGGTTATCCCTGGCTGCTGAGTATAACCCATTGGCTTTAATCCATCCAGGTCTAGTCATAGGATCTCCAGGGCACCTGGGCAGACTTAATGTCTTATTAAGTCAGCTCCCTGAGGATTGTGTGGACTAGCTAGTCATACTGTCTCATGATCAAACTCCTTGATTTTCTTAGAGACCTCTTTTCCAGCTAGGGCTGGTATCTTTTTCCAGTGTAAGGCTCCTCATTCCTGGCCTTGAGCACTGAGAGGAACTGGAATGCTGCTGTGGCAGAGACCTCCTATAGGTTCTCTGAGCATTCTGAGTCCCCACGACTCTGCTTAGTGCTTCTGTGGTACCACACTGTCAGAACTGTGTTCACAAATGAGTCAGGGGACAGTCTGTCTCTGCTGTATTCCTGCTCTGAGCCTGGCAATCAAGGTCCACACAAGGCCGATGACAGAAATGTTGCATCCAGGCTGGTGCCATGGCTCACTTGGCTAATCCTCCACCTGTGGTGCTGGCACCCCGGGTTCTAGTCCCGATTGGTGTGCTGGATTCTGTCCCGGTTGCTGCTCTTCCAGTCTAGCTCTCTGCTGTGGCCCGGGAAGGCAATGGAGGATGGCCCAGGTGCTTGGGCCCTGCACCCACATGGGAGATCAGGAGGAAGCACCTGGCTCTTGGCTTCAGATCAGCGCAGCACGCCGGCCATAGCGGCCATTTGGGGAATGAACCAACGGAAAATGAAGACCTGTCTGTCCTGTCTCTCTCTCTCTCTCTCTCTCTCTCTCACTGTCTAACTCTGCCTGTCAAAAAAAAAAAGTTGCATCCAGAACAGCCCCCTTATAACTAAGGTCACCTTAAGAGCTCCACAAATGGATCTTGGACAGGAGGTCAGGACTTTATGTGCAACTTGAACTTTTCCTGCCTTGGGAAGTTTACCGCCCCCACCCCCAGGACATGTTCTGAGCTGCTTGGTCCTAGGTGTAGAGGCTCTGGCCTCTGGAAATGTTGTACTGAGTTGACCTCTGAGTTTCCAGATGCCAGAAAACATGTAACAGAGCTGCTTGGATCTGTGTGACCACTTGTATATCCAACTGTGATCGCAGACACGCATGGTGGATTTATGAGTGCTGCCTCAGGGTGGAGCTGAGTGCTTCCTCCTGGGACTGCATGATCTTCCTGGGATTCCAGGGTGGCACAGCAACCCATGGTGCTCTGGAGGCTCTCGCTGAATCTGTGTGTAGCTTAGAAGGTAAAACTGTGTCTTTTCACTAGTATGGAGCAGAGTCTCAGAAGGACAAGGGGATGGTCCTATAAGAAATTGATGCTGGGGCTGGCGCTGTGGCACAGCAGGTTAAAGTCTTGGCCTGCAGTACTGGCATCCCATATGGGTGCCACTTCATGTCCCAGCTGCTCCACTTCTGATCCAGCTCTCTGCTAAGTCCTGGAAAAGCAGTAGAAGATGGCCTGAGTCCTTGGGGCACTGCACCCATTTGGGAGACCCAGAAGAAGATTCTGGCTCCTGGCTTTGGATCAGCTCAGCACTGGCCATTGCAGTCATGGGGGAGTGAACCAGCTATTGGAAGACCTCTCTCTCTCTCTGGCTCGACCTCTCTCTAACTTTTTCAAATAAAATAAATCTTTTTTAAAAAATAACTTAATGCTAATGGGTGCATTTGTTCTAACTTGGAAAGGAAATTTCATTCCTCTGCTTCAAGTCAGCTTGCACTTCAGGAAGGGCAGCATTTTGGTGCATTTGGAGAATCTTTAGGCTTCTTGCTTCTTCTCTGCTGGCCTCTCCCTTGTAAATTATCATGTAGCATCATTCTTTGCTCTGGTAGGATCCATATTTTTAAAATTTATTTGACAGATAGAGTTAGGGAGAGAGAGAGAAAGAGAAAGGTCTTCCTTCTGTTGGTTCACCCCTCAAATGGCCACCATGGCTGGAACTATGCCAGTCCAAAGCCAGGAGCCAGGTGCTTCTCCAGGTCTCCCATGCAGGTGCAGGCACCGAAGCACTTGGGCCATCCTCCACCGCCTTCCCGGGCTACAGCAGAGAGCTGGAACCAAAGAGGAACAGCCGGGACTAGAGCCCGGCACCCATACAGGATGCCGGTGCCACAGGCAGAGAATCACCCAAGTGAGCCACAGCGCCGGCCCCCGGATCCATCTTTAAAGCCGTGTTTTTTCTCTTCTTCATGAGAATACTTCAGAAAGTTAATGGAAAATGGAATCAAAAGATAACTTTATTTTGGTGTAAAATTTTTTAAACCCACGCATATTTCTTGTAACACATATTTTCTATATAATGTTTGCAGATCCCTCGTTTATCATAACAAGTCTTTACAAATTTTTTGTCATTGTCTTGTTTCTTTAGTTATTAGGAATAAATTATTTTGTTAGGTTGAAATTAGCCTATTTGAATTAGTGTCAGATCTCATTTGCTGTGAAATAAAGAATTACTTTATGGATAATGAAAGCAATTTAATGATGTGGTGTAAAGGAGAAAACAGTATTAAGCTATTAACACCAGGGGACTTCTCGCTGACCTCTTACAGTGCCCTGCAGACTGTACATTATTGCACTCTTGAGGATCCAGGGGCTGAAGTCTGGCCTGAAGGTATTTTAGAGAATTCTCCATGTGGAAAAGTCATAAAAAAGCAGAGAAATATAATTAGCAATAAATGAGAAGGCAGAAGAGACTTCTAGAATTGAATGGACCACAAGGTTTGCTGGGATGTTTTGAGCAGTACAGCACTAGGTAGTCTGTACTGGGCACCAGAAACAATCACTACAGCCTTGTGAAATTAAAAACTCTATGAAGTTCTGCAGAATGGTGTTTGAGACTCACTAATAGGACTCAACCTACAAGGAATGCAGATGAGACAGAGCATCTCTGACCTTAACAGTGGCGGTCTTTACTTTCCTTTTATATTGCTGTAGCAACCTTAAAATGCCTTTTTTTAAAAACCTGAGGAAATGTATCTGGAAAGTCTTTTTGGTCATCTTTTGTTATCAGTAAATTCACCATCTTAAGTTTGTTATAACTTACTGAACCTGTGGTACTAGGAACTAGATAGAACTTTGCAGCATTAGACTACAATTTGCTGCTTGCTCAAAACCAAGGGAGTTGGAGCTTACCCAGCATAATTAGAAATGTACCCTCTATTTGAAGCCTTGGCAAGAACCATAATTTAGGATTGTGGCTGTGTGTCACTGGTAGAACGTGTTGTTCAGTCCTGAGTTTGGACACCTTGTTTGTATATGACAGAAAAATAGCTTTCAGAAACTTCCTGGTGGATAAAGTATCCTTTTCACAATCTGGTAGTTTCACTGCTTTTTTCTAAAGGTTTAATTTTCCCTTCAAGTGCAGGCATGTTCGTTTTATCAAAGCTGGCATTTTCTCTTCTTTAAAAATAAATCTTGAGTATTCTGAAGAAATTTTCCAAACCACTAGGGTATATAAAAGCATGTTGTGTGAGCATAATTACAAGGGTGAAATGCTTTGCTTTTGAGTAGCAATGGACCAATACTTGGTGTGATAAGAAACATAGCTTTTATTCCATTTTATGGTTGAAAGCCTGCTTACTACTGCTCCTGATTGTAATCTTAGTCCTTTTTGTCAAATGGATTTAGAGCCCACAGCACCTTTTTATCCACCTTCTCTCTGAAAAGCAGTGGGAGATAGAGCAAATTTTTTAGATTTATTTATTTATTTGTGAAGTAGGTTACAGACAGAGAGAGAGGTCTTCCATCCACTGGTTCACTCCGTAAATGGTTGCAATGGCCAGAGCTGAACCGATTCCAAAGCTGGAGTCAGGAGCTTCTTCAAGGTCCCCTGCATGGTTTCAGGGGCCCAAGAATTAGGCTATCTTCTGCTGCTTTCCCAGGCCATAAGTCTCACTTTTAATTCTTCCTATGGCTTTAATTTAGCTACCTGGGAACCCTGAGCAGGGGATAGGACAAGTGTTCCCAGCCTCATTCTATGGGTCAGGAATAAATAAAGCCTCAAGTAGTGGTTGCATTTGTTCATCTGGAACTTGATACCAGAGCCCAGAATTTTAGTTTCATAAATATTGAAGATTTTTGGCTCCAGAGTTTAAAAGAAGTTCAGCATCTTTACTTGTCATTGTTCTGAATGTGATTTACTTGTCCCTAAAGTGTGCACATTACACAATTTATGATTTAATAAGTGGAAGTTGAAAAAAAGAAAATGGAAGTTAGCCCTCAGTTCTGTTTGGAGATGTCCGAAACACTGGTGACAGTTGGGTGTGTCCTCTTACAGGTGCTTTCCCTGCCTTAAAGTGTGTGTGGGGGAGTGTGGGGGTATATTTGTGTGTGTACTGTGCTCACATGCACATAGAAATGACTTTGTGCAGAACTGTGTTCTTAATAGGATGGTTTTCCATCTTCCTTTTTATACTTGACAGTATAGTAATTTTTGTATCATTATAAACATACAGATCTAATTCTCTTCAGTGACTGTATAAGATTACATTTTATTCCAACACAAATGGTTGCTATTTTGTGTGATAATTCTGATTTTTTACCATTAAAATAATGCTGCAGTGAGAAACCTGGAATATCCATACCTGAGCATCCCTTGAACTGTTTTGATTACCTGCATTATCTGAGAATCACTAGGTCAAGTACATTCCTGTTTAAAATGTTGCTAGGTCCTTCTGAATTATCCTCCAGGATTGCATCTGTCTAGACTTCCACAACCAGTGTGGTAAATCTCCTGTGTTTTCCATCAACACTGGGTCTTTTATAATTCACATTCCTTTCACTGAAGCATCTCTGCTTCAACACAAGACATTTGGAAGGGAAGAGCTGTCCTTCCATCATTCCCTGTTGGCACACCAAGGGCAGGCGGTGTAGAGGAGTCCATTAAAGCTAACAGGGAGGTGAGCATCTGTTAAGCTAGAAACAAAGGTGTTTGGCTTCCATTCCTGTTTATTAATGCAGATAGTGGTTATGGAAGGCTGTTACTGGCCAGGGACCCTGGGAATAGCATGATAAACAAGACCATGCTCTGCCTTCACGAGCTTGCATTCTAGACTGGGTCAGTCTTGAGCACTTCCAGTAGAATATAATGTCAAGTGTGGTGAAGACTTCAGATGAAAAATAAAGCAGAGAAAAGGACAAGGGAGGAGGTGTGTGGGGCGAGACCAGGTGCAGGAGAGGCTGCCACTCGGATGGTCTTGGAAGGTTCTCTGCTGATGGGACTCGTGAATAGAGACCCACGTGCAGTGAAGCCTGAGCCCCACTGATAACCTGCAGAAGGCCCCATCCTGCTGCAGCTGGCAATAGCAAGCACAGAAGGCCTGAGAAAAGAGCCAGTCAGGCAGGTTCCAGAAGAAGCCCCAGAGCTGCACTGACTTTTGATTTGCTAGAGGAAGATAATTGAGCTACTTACTTTCTTTGTTGAATGCCGTGTTCAGGCGAATGAAACCTTGAACCACATATGTGAGTCTTTGAAGGAGTGAAGCTGTTCATGTACAGTAGCCCTTGAACTACTAGATCACAGCATTTAACCACTAGACAGCAAGTCAGCATTCTGCATAATGAAGTGGCATTGCATGCCAGCTCTTTCACTACCAGAAGGATGACTTTGTCGAAATATACACAGGAGTTGAACAGACCTCTGCACCTTCAGTGTGGAAAAGACTAGAGCAGTACACTCTTGTGCCTAACTGCCCTTCAGTCTGCCTCTTTGTGTTGGACATTATTAGATGTGCTTTCAAAGCTCTGGTGCTCACAGCTGAAAACAAAGTAGCTTGGTGGGCAGTCACAGACAGCACTGTCCAGTCACCAGGCCAGGTAGTTTCTCCTTAACCACTGTGCCAAATGCCCTACTCCACCCATTATTAACTCTAGTCCTTTCAGAGTTATTGGCTATGTTATAAAATTTCTAGCTTTCTGAGGGGTTTTGTAAATCTTTAAAGTAAAAAATAAGAACATGTGTTGCTGCCGTTGTGGCTTAGCTGGTAAAGCCGCACCCATGATACCAGCATCCCACATGGACACTGATTCAGAGTCTCAGCTACACTTCCAATCCAGCTGTCTGCTAATGCACTTGGGAGGGCAGCACAAGATAGCCCAAGTGCTTGGGCTCCTGCACCCCCGTTCCTGTCTCCTGGCTTTGTTCTGGCACAGTCCTGGCTGTTGTGGCCATTTGGGGAATGAACTAGTGTATGGAAGACCTCTCTCTTTCTCTGTCTCTCCCTCTCTTTATGTAACTCTGCCTTTAAAATAAATGAAATGTTTAAAAGAACCTTTATCCATTCAAAGAAAGCCTCAAGTAGAAAGAAAAAGAATCTTGCAGACCCACGGTGTAAACTGATCTAAAACCTTGACTGAAATTTTTGTTGAAGTTTGCTGATAGTGTTCTTCAGAAGTGACACATACTGACTGTGTGAAGTGAGCTGATTGATATTCTTGAAACTGTGTAAAAATTAATCTGCTGGTTTTTACATGATGTACCTGTTATACCCCTGAGCTACTCGAGAGCTGTTGGGTAGAGATGTTATTACTGCAAAGTGGTCACACTGCACAGCTCCTGTGGGCACCATTACACTCTGTGACTGGCACTTCCAGGGCTAGTGCTGTGCACACCTGGGAAGCCTTACCCACAGGTGGTGTGGTATGCGCACAATGTCTACATGATGGTTCTCTCTTTATTTAGATGGTTGGTAGGGTTCCATTAGTACACAGTCCCTCAACTTGTGACTTTTCAATTCAGTGTTGCTCACTAACAATTGCGGCCCTGAGGGGTTGCCCACTTTTCCAGAGATAAGGACAGGCCTAACCTTGCCTCCTGGAACTTTCTCTGAGTTATAAACTTCTTAGAGTTATTATACAACCTTGACATTTTGTATTTAATGGTGTATTTTTAAGCAGAGGTATCTTATAAGCATAGTGCAGCAATCATAGACTTATTTTTATTATTCTTTTTTTTATTAAGGAGGAGGGAGTAAAGCATTGTTGGTCAGTGCACATGGTGCTTAATGTGGAGTCTGGAGGTGGAGATGGTGTTTTCTTACTTCTATAGTTTCTGATTTCCAACTATCTCCAAGAGGTAAACACTAGAATTAGGTCTAGGCTGTGGTTCTAGATGGTATGGCTCTGTTTTAAATTTCATCTCACAGCTGCTTGGCATCAAGATTTCCAGCTTTCAAAGGCAGGCCACACATTTAAAGCAAGCATCTAAACCAGTTGTTAGAGGAAAAGATACAGCCATGGTAACGATGACACTAAATGAATCATTTGTGTGATATCTGACACCTCATCAACTAGTTGAAATATCTGTGTGTTTTCTTGTTTTCTGAAATAAAAATAATTCAGACTTACTGAAACTATACATTTCATTCCTTCCACATATGAGACAGTCTATTTTCTGACTCATTGGGCTTCTAAAATTCTGTGGTTAGGGGCTAGTGTTGTGGTGCAGTGGGTTAAGCCACCACCTGTAATGCCAACATCCCATACTTGTTTTCTTTCTGTAATCCAGTAGATGAAAAAAAGCCACCACTCCCAATACATGAGTCGTATAAAAACAATTTCACTTTATTTGAACACTCTAAGGAGAAAAAGCAGATGAGTATGCACTGTACCCAAAGAGAAAAACTGTCAAATTTTAGATCGAATGTTGGAATAAATTCCATGACAAAAGTGAAACAAACAATCGACTTGTGGCCCCACTGCACTGGAGCCTGGCTTCACTGCCTACTTGGGACAGACAGCAGGAGCTCAGGAGAAGCCTGGAGCCACACCCCCTGTGCAAGCCTGCACAGGCTTGGTCTTTGTTTTCTGATTGGTGGGAGCCTGGAGGTAATCCAATCAGACTTGATGTATGCCATTGAATACTGAGTTTATAAAAAGGGTACTCAGTGCTGCTGTTTCCCTTTTCTCTTCTTGGTGTCCAGCGTTGTGGAGTTCTTCATTGGAACATGTGCTAAGCCATGGCCCTAAGAACAAGGAGGTGAGCAGCCAAGAGCAATACCTGCAGGGAGGGCCGGGATGCTGGTGTCAAAGGAGTGGCAATGGATTCAACAGGACCCTCAGGTTTGTCCATCCTTGCCTGGTGAGTCTTCTTGAAATGCTTGTGCGTATCATTCATATATTTATATATTATAAATTTAATATCATATGTGCTAAATAGATTGTAAATTGTATATTGTAAAACGTATATGTACTAGGGGTATCACATACAGTTCCAGGAGGTGTGAGCCTACCTGGCTGAATTCTGATGCCAGGGTGGGTGAACCAGCAGCAGGTGAGTCACCTTCTTTTGGGTGGGTGATTTAGATGCCCAGCGACTGTGTTAATTTCCAGGTCTCTTGTTTCGTTTTCTGGATTTATAGTTTTACTTAGTGGATAGGAGCTGAGAAAATGGATCTGGTCATCCAGCAAGGAGGTTCCTGCTCACAGGCTTTGCTTCCTGGTTTTCCTAATTTGCTAAGATTGTTTATCTCAGTTTGCATTGAGGGTTCTCCAACACAGCAGTGATAGCATTAACTGGTACACCCAAAGCAATGGCTTAATAAGTGTCCTTCCCCCACTGAATTCTAATCCTGTCTCTGTGATATCCAGTGTTTCCCTAATTTTATGAAAATTTCCTGAGGAATATATTCTTATATTGTAATGAATGCAGTTATAAGGGGAGACATATCATGTAAAATTTACATAGTCCAGTCATATTATTGCATTAACTAGGCATATGGGGACTCTGTTTATCATCAGAGGCACCTAGATCCAAGGATGGCACCGAAATTTTGAGAGGGAAGCATTACTTCCTAAGTATGTTTGTTTCAGTTATAAAACTATAATGTTCTGAATAACTCAATACAGGTTCTTTTTACTTCTAAATTAGATTTTGAAGTATTTAAATCATTTGGATTATGATATTTTTAGACCATTTTTAGGTCTGAGAGGGCAGGGGCATTGTTTCTGCACAGTATCCACAATGGTTGCCATATAATTGGTTCTAAAACATCAGTTGATGAATTGAAATCTCTATTTGTCCCCGTGTTTCAAACAGCACAAAATTTCAAAATCCGTAGGTATTGTGTTTTGTGGTTTGGTTCTTACAGTATGTGGTGAATTAAGTCTCACTTCCTTCTGGTTAGCAGTTCCTAGTGTTGACACCCAAGGATCGTTCCTTGATCCTCATCTTATGAGATGCTGACCAGTGACTACTCAGAAACAGCCCTTTGGTGCACGTCCTCATGGATGTTCCAGTTTCCTCGTCATCCACTCTTGCTGTTCCTGTTAGTGCTGATTGTTCACATCCAGAAGTTGAAATGACCCCATGTTAAGTGCAGGTGTTTGTTCTCACTGGTCTTCCCATCCTAGACAGCCTTATCTCTATACCGTGTTTCAGGAAGGTCTTGGATTTTTCTCGCCTCATTAGCTAGACCTGCTTATATTGCCCATGGTTTTCTCGTTTTGGCTATTTTAGAGCTTGGTTCGGTAATTCCATAATTCTTTGCCCTCACACACAACAAGCCAAGAAAAATCTGTTCTGTTGTTTTCTCATGCTCCCAATCCACAGATGTTCTCTGATAACAATCACCAGGCATCTTAAAGGCTGGCTGGTCCCTACACCCTTCTCAAAGCCACATGAATATGTGATTCTTTTGATTTTTGTTTTTATGTCTCAATTCCATTACATTTTCCACACCTCTGCTCCTGTGACCACCATAGAACTTGAGCATCTCCCACAAAAATCCTAGGCTAGCAATTTCTAGTGTACTACTAATAAGAAGTTCAAATATAGAAACTTTCTGGGGAGATTCCAAAATTAGATTGGTTTATGCCAGATATCTTAAGATGCTTTCCCTCTGTTTAACTAAAGTCAGATCTATGGGGGAAAAATAGATGGAGAGTTTGCTACAAACAATGTCTTTGTTTCACCTTTATAAAATTTTGTTTGTGAGTTATGTAGGCCTCAATAATTATGAATGGGAAAACTAAAACTGTGACTTGCAGTTCAGTATTGCAAATATTGTAAAGTTTTCTACTGAAGTGCTGTGGTGAGAGAACAGGCATGGAGTCCAGGAAATCCTTCAATGAATTGGTATATGTGTAGTTTTCAGAGTGCTTCTTTCAAAGAGATTTAAACTTTGTTAACATTTTCTTACATATGATGTTACATTTAAAATTGCTGCTTCAACAAACACTGAGCTCTATGTGATTGGTAACCCCTCCTACACTAATGAATCACCTTGCTTGATTTTCCCACCTGATTACTGTGGAAGATGACATGTGAGTGTCAAATGGGGAAAGAAAGATTTTTTTAAGATTTATTTAACTATTTGAAAGGCAGAGATACAGAGAGGCAGGGGCAGAAAGAGAGAAAGAGAGAGGTCTTTCGGTCTGCTGTTTCACTCCCCATAGGGCCACAATGGGCCAGAGCTGAGCTGATATGTATCCAGGAGCCCAGAGCTTCTTCTGGGTCTCTCACATGGGTGCAGGGGCCCAAGCACTTGGGCCATCTTCCACTTTCCTAGGCCATATCAGAGAGCTGGGTCGGAAGTGGAGCAGTGGGGACTCAAAGCAGCGCTGTTATGAGACGCCAGCACTGCAAGCAGAAGCATGTAGTAGTTTATAATTCTCATTTCACTTTTCACTTTCCTGGTTTCCTTCAGATACACTTCCTTTCATTTTCTATTTCTGAATTTTCAATTTGACGGAGGTGAGGTGACAGTGTAATATGTTACTTGGATATTGTCTTAAGTATTCTCTTGATAGAATTCCTGAATCTTTATTTTCAAGAAACCACCTGTAATTTAGTTTAGTCAAGTTCATGAATAGTTTCTTAAGATTTATTTATTTTGGCTGGCACCGCAGCTCAATAGGCTAATCCTCCGCCTGCAGCTCCAGCACACCAGGTTCTAGTCCCGGTCGGGGCGCCGGATTCTGTTCAGGTTGCCCCTCTCCCAGGTCAGCTCTCTGCTATGGCCCAGAGTGCAGCGGAGGATGGCCCAAGTGCTTGGGCCCTGCACCCCATGGGAGACCAGGAGAAGCACCTGGCTCCTGGCTTCAGATCAGCATGGTGCGCTGGCTGTAGCGCACCAGCCACGGCGGCCATTGGAGGGTGAAGCAACGGCAAAAGGAAGACCTTTCTCTCTGTCTCTCTCTCTCACTGTCCACTCTGCCTGTAAAAAAAAAGAGATTTATTTATTTTAAAGTCAAAGTTACACAGAGAGAGAAGGAGAGGCAGAGAGACAGAGAGGTCTTCCACCTGCTGGATCACACCCCAGATGGTGGCAATGTCAAGAACTGCGCTGATCTGAAGCCAGGAGCCAGGAGCTTCTCCAGGTCTCCCATGTGGGTGCAAGGGCCCAAGGACTTGGGCCATCCTTTACTGCTTTCCGAAGCCATAGGAGAGAGTGCATTGCAAATGGAGCAACTGGGACTTGAACTGGTCCCCATATGGGATGCTGGCACTGCATTTGGTGGCCTCACCTGCTACACCACAGTGCCAGCCCAAATCCTGAATATCTTAAAAATCATTTCTGTCCCATGAAGCCTACCAAAACCCCACAATATTAATCTAAGTTCCTTAATTTTTATTTGCATTTTAAGTATAGGAACCTATTTTTGCATGTTGTATTTTTCTAGCCTAATTACAGTATAACAGAGAAACAAAAATAGTATATATTCAAGGCACGCAGTCTGTGTTACTATATGCATCTGATCTTTATACTGCATTTTCACACAAACCTTTTGACTTTCCTGGTACTTACAAAACACTAGGAAAGGATTAGTACAATGAAGTTACTTAACAAATTTATCACTCTTTTTTTAATTTTTTTTTTTGACAGGGAGAGTGGACAGTGAGAGAGACAGACAGAAAGGTCTTCCTTTGCCGTTGGTTCACCCTCCAATGACCTCCACGGCCAGCATGCTGTGGCCGGCACACAGCGCTGATCCGATGGCAGGAGCCAGCTACTTCTCCTGGTCTCCCATGGGGTTTAGGGCCCAAGCACTTGGGCCATCCTCCACTGCACTCATTGGCCACAGCAGAGAGCTGGCCTGGAAGAGGGGCAACTGGGACAGAATCCGGCGTCCCGACCAGGACTAGAACCCGGTGTGCCGGCGCTGCAAGGCAGAGGATTAGCCTAGTGAGCCGTGGCGGCAGCCACAAATTTATCACTCTTACAGTGTTTTTTAAACTTACCTCATTTTATTATGTATTTTCCCAGAAAGCTTTTATTTAAGGTATATATATTTTATGCCTTCAATAAATACAGCTTTCACAGCATAGTAATTCTTGCTACCATACCCGCCCTCTCACTTATACTCCTGCCATTATATAGTGTTTTTTTTTTTTTTTTAAGAACTACTGACCTAGGAAATTACAAATGCAGAATATGGTGTGAACTGGTTACCTGGAGTATATATTAGATTTTAAAAACCTTATCTCATAATTGTAAATTTTATTTTTTAAGCTTTATTTGAAAGGCAGGGGCTGGCGCCATGGCTCACTTGGTTAATCCTCTGCCCAGGATGTCAGCATCCTGTATGGGTGCTGGGTTCTAGTCCTGGTTGCTCCTCTTCTAGTCCAGCTCTCTGCTGTGGCCCGGGAGGCCAGTGGAGGGTGGCCCAAGAGCTTGGGCCCCTGCACCTGCATGGGAGACCAGGAGGAAGCACCTGGCTCCTGGTGTCGGGTCGGTGTATCGCCAGCTGTAGAGGCCATTTGGGGAGTGAACCAATGGAAGGAAGACCTTTCTCTCTCTCTCTCACTGTCTATAACTCTACCTATCAAATAAAAAATAGAAAAGCAAGAAAGAGAGAAGGAGAGTAAGACAGAGTCAGAGAGAGTGAGAGAGAGGATGAAGGATATCTCATCTCATGCATTATTTCACTCCTTAAATGTCCTCAGTGGCAGGGCTGGGCCCCAGGTCACCCACTTTGGCATAGGGGCCAAGTCGTGGGGTCATCTTCTAGTGCTTTCCCAGGCACATTAGCAGGGAGGTGAATGGGAAGTGGAGCAGCTGGGACTCGGTCTGGTTCCCATATGGGATGCTGGCAGTCCAGGTGGAGGCCCAAGCTTTTACATCCCAGCTCCAGTACTAT